TGTGTGTGTGTGTGTGTGTGTCTGTGTGTCTGTGTATACGTGCAGCTCACAGGCCTTGCCCTCATGCAGGTCCTCGCTCTCCGGATAACGAGGAGGCCGACCTGCCAGTGGAGGGGGGTGGCATGCCACGGGTCTCTGACTTCCCCCCCGACCTGCGGGAGCTGCTGCCCTGTGTAAAGGTGTGGTCCGACTGGATGCTGGGTCACCCCAAGCAATGGAACTCTCCACCCAGCAACCTGCCCCCACCCTGCAGGTGAACCTCCGCCCCCAACCCCCCCCCACTCATGCACACACAGACGCACACATGCAGTGTCTCAGGTACAGTAGCTCAGCCCTTGACTCAAATGAAGGACACGCTTACAAACACAGTCCGCAGAGTGTCTCACTGGCTGTGAATTGGGCCCCCATCTTGATTTTTGGAGAATTTCTCTGTCTTCCTGTCTTGCCCGCCCCCCGATCTGGTCTTCCTCACACACACATTCTGTCACGTGCTGCTGCCTGTTGTGTGTGTGTCTGTGTGTCTGCCTATATGTGTCTGTGTCTGTCTGTCATTATGTGTATCTATGTGTGTGTTTGTGTCTGTATCTCTGTGTCTGGGTATGTTTTTGTGTGTGTGTCTGCGTGTGTGTGTGTGTGTGTGTGTGTGTGTGTGCGCACACGCACGCCGGTTGGGGGGTGAGTTGAGCCACAGCACAGTCCTGTGTCGAGCAGCTGTGGCACTCCCAGTTTCCCCCTGATTGCTTTCAGCTGGTACTTGAACCCGGGGCCTTCTGGGTTCTGGAGCCCGGCCCAGACCCCACAATCCCCCCAGCGCCCCGTACAGCTGCCTGACCCCTCCCTGACCCCGCGCTGAGGATAGGAAAATACAAGGCGTGCCAAGCCAGAGAGCCTCTTTCATTCTGCCTGCTGGCACCCGGCCCGTGACCAGGGCTTACATAATGGGAAACATAGCAGGGCCCAGGAGAGAGTGCTGTTCTCTCCTTCACCGATCGGCCCCTCCTCAGTGCACTCTCGTTGCCCCCCCCGTGTGATATATCTCCCCGCACTCTCTTACTCGGGCACATCCATTACACACGCCCTCGACACAATCCTGAGGCCTAGCCACCGGCGTCGGCACGCGCGTGCACACACACACACACACACACACACACACACACAC